TGTAACTTGGTTACCAATATGAAAAACCAATTCAAATTGTTTTTATAGTCGTGAACGTGAACTCTTACGACGTCGCATGGACGAGATACTGACTGATCGAGCTGCAAGACGACGTGAGGTTCGGAGGAAATTTATAGATGATGCTATTGAATACTATGAAGATCAGATAGGATTTTCAGTAAGCGAGAGACAAGTTTTCAAAAGTTAAGCAGTTTTTATTAAATTTAACCTTTGAAGATTAGTAATGAGTCTCAATGGAATCTAATGTCAGCTATGTATTACTCTGGCACACTTTTCACCACCATAGGTAAGTTCTTGACTGAAAGTTTTCATTGAACCTCACAATTCACTTCTGTCAAACTCAAGTCACATTATAGAAACTTGATTAAGTTACTGTTTTCAGTAGAATGAGTTAATTAAAATTTACGGCTGTTTCTCATCATCTTCCTTCTTTGCGTATCTGTTATCCCATAAATGTGCAAGAATAGGCATGCAAATATTTTCTGAAATATTTTCCCTCTTGGACTTTTTCGAGAAGCAAATGCATCGGTAACGCTAGTATTAGGTGCGATAGATATACTGTAAACTTGCACGTCACAACTCAAATGTCTGATAAATTCTAACTCACAGCTTACAAATGTTCTGTTTATTGCAAGACTGCATATGGGTAAGAGCTAGGACCTAGACGTCTCTTCTTAACGGCTCGTTTGAGTCACAAATTTTCCAAAGCAATTCTTCTGTATCAGGATATGGAGATATTGCTTGTGTTACGGTAGCCGGACGCATACTTACCGTAATCTATTCCTGTATTGGTATACCACTTATGCTTATAACACTGAACGATCTTGGAAAATTTCTGTACAATAATATCAACGGTTGCGTAAAGGTAAGTTAGGGTGAGTGTACACAATTTTTGCTAGTAAGGATTATTAGTGACAATTTTCAGAACATTGAAGACTTCGGTACATATTTGGGGGTTCTTCGAATATGTGGAAGAAAGGAACGCAAAATGGA